AAATGGGTGACCCTGGAGGACATTATGCTGAGTGAGGTATCTCAGTCACAAAGGGACAAATGCTATATGGTGCCACTGTTGTAGAATGAGGCTGACATCGGGATGGGGGTAAGACTGAGAACTGGATGAAATATGTTTATGGCATTGAAGTTTTGGGGGGAGAGAATATTTTAAAAGTATTATATTTTAGGGCATTATGTTTATCGTAAGAGTACGGAATGAGGGTTGCAGAGTGGATTATATTTGGGGTTGGGGGATGTGGGGGGTGGATTGCGTACCAATGAGGGAGTTTTTCTTTTGCTTTTGAAGGAGAGGAGCAAAAGGGGGGGGCGGGAGAAGGGTGCAACAATGAATGAATGGAATTCCAAAATCTCTGTAGGTGTTCATTGAAATGAAAAATAAATTTTTTTAAAAAAGAATCTAAGTAACATTTAAAAAAAAAAAAAGAGACTGCCAAATGCAACCAGAAATGCACAATCTGAAGAGGATAAAAAGGATGCATGGGACCCTCTAAAGATTTAATCCATATGTGCATCAAAAACTTTTTCCAACACGGTGTTTTTCCTGGGCCTCCACAAGAAAAAAACTGATAACCCAATTATAAAACGGACAAAAGACATGGAGAGAATTCTCACAGAGGAAGATATTCGAATGGCAAACAGACACACGAAGAAATGCTCCAAATCACTGGCAATAAAAGAGATGCAAATCAAAACCACAGTGAGGTACCATCTCACTCCAGTAATAGTGGCAAAGTTTAACAGGGCAGCAAGTAAAGAGGATGTGGTGAGATAGAAACTTTTATACATTGCTGGTGGGACTGTAAAATGGAACAACCATTCTGGAAGGCAGTTTGGCACTTCCTCAAATATCTGAACAAAGAAATTCCATATCACCCAGATATTCCACTACTTGGAATATACCCTGAGAAAACGAGAACTGAGGCACAAACGGAGATTTGTACACCTATGTTCATAGCTCTTCAGTACTTTGGAGAGGTCCCTAACAGCAGACTTTCCCATGGCAATGCGCCTTTTAATTTCCTGGATGCTGGTGCCA